GTGGTCTATGTGGGTGATATTGTCATAACTGGCAATGACAGATTGGGGATTGATAAACTAAAGGTCATTCTACAAAACCATTTTCAAATAAAAGACCTTTGGAAGTTGAAGTATTTCTTGGGTATAGAAGTTGCCATATCAAAACAAGGTGTAAACCTATTCCAAAGAAAATATGTTCTTGATCTTTTAGATGAAACATGACTATTAGGTGCAAAACCAACTGAAACTCTCATAGAACCAAATGCTAAGTTGAGCAGTGATACATGGGAAATATTTGATGATCCTAGAAGATACAAACGGTTAGTGGGGAAGCTGAACTATCTGATTATCATAAGACCAGACATCTCCTTTGCAGTTAGTGTGGTTTGTCAATTTTATGCAGAACCCTCAAATACCTCACTGGGATGCAGTTCTTAGAATTGTAAGGTACCTGAAGGGAGCTCTAGGCCGTGGGTTATTGTACAAGCCAGGAGGAAGACTTAAGGTAATTGGGTATATAGATGTAGATTGGGTAGGCTCAGTGTCGGATAGAAGATCTACTACATGTTACTGCACATTTCTTGGAGGAAATCTTGTGACATGGAAGAGTAAGAAGCAGACCGTTGTGGTAAGGAGTAGTGTTGAAGCTGAATATAGAGCCATGGCACACACTACATGCATTAACCTTCAAATCCACCCATTGTGTTTCAAATTGGAGATTTACAAAAATTCTTCAAGCTTTGACAATTTTTAGACTTCTCTTGACATTAAAAGCCAACTAAAAGTACTCCCCTAGCTCAATAATTCATACAAATATCACTTCAACTTATTTCAACTATTGGAAAACCCTTTCCAAGGTCCTATATGAGACATAAGTCTCTCACTCTATCATTTAACTTAAGTTAGGAATTCCTTTATTCTTTAGTTTAGTCTGGGTTTTTTGAAATTCTGAAACCTTAGAGAACTTGCATTCTTAGTTGCTTCCATAATGGGATAAAGAAGTAAAGAGGTGAGGGTCTTAGGAAAATTAGTACCTAAGGCCTGATAACATCTCCTTAAACCAATTCCAGAAGAAATTGGAAGCATTTTTCATAAGACTTCAAGAATTCTTAGTGATCTTTTTATTGGTTTTCGTTGGAAATTAAGCATAAAGAACTACCATATTGGGCTACTACAATAGCTTGGATAGAGGAGTGTCAAACACCTATGTTCTCTCAATCCATCCGAATCCTAAAAATCTCTTGGTAGAGTGCCTTTCCTGTGGAAAATGGAGTCACTATTTCAAAGATAAATCCAATTGTCAAAACTGAAATAAGGGCACATTTTCTCTAAAAGATGGGTGGCAACTCCTTTTTTGAGCAGGCCATGATCTTCTTGTTGCTTACAATTGACAAAGAGAAGGGAATTCTTATCTCTCTCTTTCCCTTTCTAAATGACAAATAACTTCATATCATAGAACAGAAAGTCACACAAAAAATTAAAAAAAAAAATAAACATCTAGTGAGCCACATAGCTTTTGGAGTTGTATTGAACTATTTGTGTCTATTAAGTTATTTGCTTTTAAGAGGGATAGTATGCTAATCAGATGACTAACTTCCTTGTAGACTATTGTAATAAAAGTGAAGTAGTATTGCTAAACACCTTTCATTTCCTACCTAATTTGACACATTTTGTAAAGATTGACTAGGATCACACTATATATTGGAGATTATAAAGAATTTAATTATTAGATAGTTAAATAAATGTCACACCATAGTGAACCAGCATGCCTGCGTTTGGGAGTGGTACAACACCCAAGAGAAGCAAATTCATGAGTTACCTCTTACTCATGTTAGGAACGCGATCATTAGTTGGAATGCTTGTTGCCTAACAAGTTATACTCACAATATTTTCTTTCCTTACCAATTGGGTCATCATGGGTTTCACCAATAGAGCTTGGGATGGAGAAAACACCCCACTCTTGCTAGGGCAGAGATGAGAAATGGAATTAAATGAAAGAAAACAACATCAGTGATAAACTCTATTTTAAATAGTTGAAACAAAAATGGGAGAGGAGTTAAAGTGTAGACTACCTAAGAATGGGTTACGGGGGATAGAGTGGAGGTAGCCATAGAAGATAATCCTAGAACGAACATAAATAATGAGAGGGAAAGACTTTGATTGATAAATAAATTCTTATCTGAACCTTTTTCTAGTTCAAGATAAGGCCAAGTTTGGGAATGCTTAAAAATAAGTGCTAATTTAAATTAGCACTTATTTTGGGCCGAGACACCATTAAGTAATTATTGGCGTTTAGGAAATAAGCTTGAAATAAGTGCTTATTTTAAAAATAAGGATTTATTGGAGAAGCCCAAAATTCTAACTTTTTCTAAGTTCTTATTAATACCACTTATGCCACTCGAATGTAAAACACATAGGGTTTGGCGATTCAACCCTTTCTTCTCCATCGTCTTCTCCAATAGATGGCAAAACTTCACTAGGTCCAACCAGCAACAAAACTTCACCTTCTCCATCATCTTTTCACTATACTTTTTGGCAATTGCTACAGAGAACTTCCAAAGCAAGGAGTTCGACAAGGAAACTTGTAGTTTTAATTGAGTCCAATTCAACAAGTAAAAGGAAAGGAGGATCAAAAGCAAAAGTTGGGGTTCTTAATTGAATCCAACCAGAACACCAACACTTCCATCCTCAACTGTAAAGTCATCACAATGGCAGAACTTAGTCCGGTGAAATCATCAGTCAACACATACCTTGGTCGACCATGGAAAGAATACTTGAGAATAGTATTTATAGGTTCGTATCTCGATGATCTGATAAACCCAACTGGATGGTTAGAATGGTGAGGTAATTATAAGTGCAAAACAAAAATAACAAGAGAATAACGAAAATGAGGCACAATAGAATTGTCTTAGCCTCCCTCATTCCCTCTCACCATGAATCCTACGGGTAAGCTGAATATCTTTAGGCATAGTGGTGACCCTCTTGGCGTGAATGGAACAGAGGTTGGTGCCTTCGAAGAAACCCACCAAGTAGGCCTCGACAACTTCTTGAAGATCTGCGACAGCGTTGATCTGGAATCGTAGATTTGTTTTGAAGTCTTCAACATCTCACGGATGACATGCTGAAAGGTAACTTCTAGATTAAGAGTTCCGTGCTCTTTTGGTACTTCCTGATCTCACCAAGAGAAATAGTTCCAAGCCTGAACCTGTGAGGCTTCTTCACTCCTTTGGTTGCCGGTGCCGATTTTTGAGCCGCTTTAGTTGCCAACTGCTTTCGAGGAGCCTTCTCTCCTGTTGATTTCCTTGCAGTCTGCTTCATATGTGCCATTTCTAAGTTCTCTTAGTCTCTGTTCAACGAACCAAGATAGAAAGACGCAATCGACTATTGACTTCTATTGTAGTTCTCAATTCTTTGTTCTATGGTGGTTTTATTCAAAAATAGAAATGGAGGCAACCCAATTTACAGTGGCATCTTTTATTCAAGGGGGTGGCTGGCTATCATCCACCAGAATTCCACCGGATCACCCAATGGGCTCGGGTGTTCTTTAATATTCCATGAAAACTATTACTTGTGCTTGATTTTAAGCTTGGCACTCTTGAAATGAGAGTTAAAGTTGTTTTTTGAAATAATTAGTGCTCATTGGAGAAAAGTACCATCAAACACCCAATATGAAATAAATGTTTTTCTTTAAAATGAAGCACATGAAAAAATTGGGTGCCACTTTAAAGTTGTCTTTTGAAATAATAAGTGCTCATTGGAGAAAAAAAATACCATCAAATGCTTAATATGAAGTAAGTGCTTATTTTTTAAAATGAAGCATTTGAAAAAGCTAGGTGACAAATGCAAATAAGTGCTTATTTGAATAAGTATGTGTTTTTAAGCACTTATTCGATAATCACTTATTTTTAACATAAACACTCCCAAATAAATTCTTATTTGAACCTTTTTTCTGGTTCAAGATAGGAATTCCAAATTCAATTTCTTCTTCTTATTCCTCCTCCTCTTTTTCTTCTTGTTCTTTTACCTCACTTCTCTTTCTTCTTTTTCCTGCATATAAGGGAAAAATAGATTTTAAAAATTATAAATGGGTTGTTTTATTGATGGAGGTATGCTTAAGTCCAGTTAGGTCAGCCCATAAGGTATATTTAAGCCTATTTGAAAAACATAGGGTATATTTAAGTCAATTTATGAAAACTCATGATATGTTTAAGTCTTTTACCCTATTTCTTATATTGAAGATAGAGTCGTTTGTTGACATTTTCATATTTAAGAATGTTAAGTGGTTTGTCCCCACAACTCTCTAAGGTAGAATATTAGTTAAGGTGGACCAATGAGAGCATTTGGTTGAATGAAAAGATTGGAGCAAATGAAAACTCAAATGGATTAAGGAAGGGGATGGAAATACAAAATTTTTCCATGCAATGGCTAATAGGGTTTGCAAGAACAACTTATGTGATGAATGGCAAAGTTCTATGCTTTTAAACATTTTGGAGGTGCTTGAGAAACACTTTGGGAAGCAATAGGTCTCTCGGGAGACACTTGTGAGTTTCTGTGGAGGGTAGAGGTGTTCATAAAAAAACAAAAAACTGAAAAATCGAACCAAATCGAGAAAACAGAACCAAAAAATGTGATTAATCAAATCGATCAATTCAATATTTTTTAAAAACCAAAGGACCGGTTTGGTTTTCAGTTAACATAGAAAAAACCAATGGTTAACCTAACCAGTGGTATATATTTATGTATGTTATATATTTTTAATATTATCACATATTATCTATATATTATATATAAATGTATATATGCATTATATATATATATATATATATATTTATAAGAATCTATTTATAATATATATTATAAATATAAAAACCAAAAAACTGAACAACTGAATAGCTGAACTTCAGTTATTACCGAAGAACCAAACCAGCTAAAAAAATGGGAGGAAGCAGGGGAAATGTAGTGCTCATTTGATTAAAAAATAAAAACTAAAAACTCATACTTCCCTGATAATAGATAGAAAATGAAGAGAATATATGAACAATCTGACATATAACAATTAATTGACTTTGTAAAACATTTCATCAATGTCCCAAGTGTCTTCTACATCCTTCATAACATCAAATATTGACATATTTAAACTCACAAATTAAAAAAAAAAAAAATCTTTAATTTTCTTCATCCTACTTTTATATCTGAATGAACCAACGCATTCAATCAGATCCCCCAGGAATCCCATTCCCAAAGAAGGTGTATATTATCTTCGGTGCAAGGGCAGTCGAGGGAGCAAAATACAGATTTGCCCTTTTTCTCGTTAGAACTAGTTGGAAACACCAGCGGCTAGCTTTGCCCTCAGATCCTTCCTCAAGATCTTGCCAGATGGCGCCTTTGGAATGGCTTCAATGAAGAAGACTCGCTTGACTCTTTTGTAATATATAACCTGCACCACCAGCATGCAGTAAGAGGGCCTGAGATTTAACAAATTAATGATATGCATTTGATGGATATTTCTGTATTATATATCAATGGTAGGGGTCTTCATTTTCGGTTCAAAAATAGAATCTAATTGATAATTTAGGACTTGTTTGGTGCATTTTTTTGGAAGATCTTGTGGTAGTTTTGACATGCAAAATATCAATTAATCTTTTTTATGAAGATTTGAGCAGTTCGAAGCACATTTGGCATATACGTGTCTTTTTGCACGAGATTAAAACACAAAAGACACGAAAAGCTTCATTTGGAATTTCCCAAAATCAGCTTAAAATGGGCTTTTTGTGTCTTTTCGGTATTCCATCTTTTGGTGGTTAGATCTTCTGCGTGCCAAAGGGAAATAGACTGAAAATCAGTCTTCGCAACTTGTAAATAGCTGAAAAATCGCACGAAAAGACGTGCCAAACAGGCTCTTAGTAGGTCATTTTTATGAATCGAATCAAATTAAATAAAATTTAAATCAGTTTGGTTGGTTTTAAATTGGTTAGTTAAAATATAAATGTATGTTATATTTTTATTAATAATTATTATTAAAATATATCAACATTTATAATTAAAATTATATTATATATCATTATTAATATATGTATTTAGAATTAAAATATAAATATATGTATTTATTTTGATTAATTCAGCTTGATTGAATTTTTTTCTCAAATCAAACAAAAAACTAAAAACCGATATTTTTAAGATCATAAAACTGAATCAAATCAAAAACTAAAATAACCAAAATTAGCTTATTTGGTTCAATTCGATTATCGATTTAATAAAAAATTTTGAACACCCCTAATCAATAGGATTCAAGTTTCAACATCCCTTAAGGCCTTAAGCCCTTTAAAACCAGGGTTGGGGGGGTTAAGGGAAGGGGATAAAAAAAAAACAAAGAAGAATTCAAGATTCACCTGCTTTGAGACGTATTCCTTGATTTCGTCCTCGGTGATCTGAGAACCATTGGATCTCACCACGAATGCAACTGGGATCTCTCCAGCTCGTTCATCCTTCATACTGGATTAAATCGGCGATGACCTAGTTAGAATCCGTTGCCTTTGATCATAATCAGAACCGGACCAACCGGTTAGTTTTTATAATATGGGGAGAGGACTTACGGAACTACGGCGACATCAGAAATGTCGGGATGAGTGATGAGGATTGCTTCCAGCTCGGCGGGGGCCACCTGGAACCCGTTGTATTTGATCAATTCTTTCAATCGGTCCACAATGAATAGCTCATCATCATCGTCAATGTAGCCAACATCCCCTGTATGCAGCCAGCCCTCTTTGTCAATGGTTCTCTCCGTCGCTTCCGCATCATTTAGATAGCCTAAACAATAGAGAAGGTCAAGTATGTCATTTCACTGTCCTTTTATTTTTGCAATGGCGTGGGCTTAAAAAAACAATCGAATTATATATTCTTTCGATATCATATCGTTCTCGTATCATCAAAATTGTCGTTCAATTTTTACTTTATTTTAAACACAATAATGTAAATTCAGATTCAATAACTCGAATTTTGGGATTTTGGAATGGACTAGATGTGAGAATATAGATTCATAATAGACCAGAGACCTGGTTGACCTGTTTGAACCTGAACCAAATTGGCCCCGGTCTAACTAAGATTAACTAATCAAGCCATGTTTGGTTGAAGGAAAAAAGATAGGGAAAGGAAGAAAAAGGTAGAAAATTTGTACAAACCTTGCATAGGTTTTCTACTTTATCCTTCAAACCGTACATGATCTAATGGAAACTGAAAAGAAAAATATAAATAGGAGACTCATTTCTAAATGGAATTCAAATCAGCCCCCCATAAGATTGTCTCCCACAAAATGTTGCGGGGGCAATCTTGTGGGGAATTATTTGATCTCTTTCTAAATGGCCTCTGATTCTCTCTCTCTCTCTAATTTTTTCACCATCTCACATCCACCCACATGGGAATATCTCCAGAAACAGGCAAATACAGGATATGTTTTCAATGTGCAATTTTAGTGACGTATGGGTAGGTGTGAATAAGGTTCTTCTGGGCAGAGATCCTAAGACCATGACTCAATAAACAAAGAAATATCCTATCCAAAAAATTCAGACAACAAGAATATTTATACTATAATTCATGACGATGATATATACACTTGGATTTCCTTATTGTAGAGGAAATAGACTTTTAAGGGGTTGGTGAAGCTGAGTTGCCATTTATTTTAATAATGATGATCCTGACTTGATGGAGGAGGTTTGAACCACCACTCCAAACTTGAAATAAAATATTGAGCATTAAAATTTCAGAGGGATATTACTTTAATCTGTGTCTTGCCTACAAGATTACTAGGGGAGATAAGTTGAATTGGTTATCTCATATCCATCACCATCTATCCTTAATTTCTTTTGCTACACACAATGGTCCAGGTTTTCAATATTAGGTGAGATGATGTTGGATGGAAAGTTTGATAATTTGTAGGCCCATCAAATGGTAGGAGGTCATTATCCATTACCTACTTTAAACAACAAATAAAAAAATACATAAAATAAATAAAGGGAGCAGGCTAATCTCTTTACCAATTGCTAAGTGGTTTAGGTGAATATTATCATTTGTTTACAATGAAAGTTGGAAAGTATCATCAAATTAAATGTATCTTTTAATAAAACACATAGCATGTTAGTGATTCAATTGATCAGATGACCATTCAACACCCATTGAAAATGAGGAGACATGGGAAAATTTGTGATACTAGAAAGATATATAATGGGAAGAGATTTGACCAATCAAAATACTCCTGTGAATTTGAAGAATACCATTTGATTGATCACTTCTTTTATAATACTGGTTGATTGGCTTTAAGTTTTTCCCTATCATATTCTTCTCATAATATACTTAAATCCATTTTATTATGATACAAAAGAAGATTGTGACCAATCAATGAGTATCATATATATTAACTAATCACATTTACATGTCTTTTTGGCATCAATGCATCATAGATTTTCTTAATAAAAAACCTATTAACAATGTTGGGTCAACACCTACCACCGCCAATATTGTAAGACTTGCATCCAACTAAAACCCGGAATAATCTTTGGGTCAAAGTAAACCGGGACCCATTACTAGGTTAGCAAGACCTGGTCTAAGTCTGATTTCTGGTAATTCCCTTACTAAGATACCCCATTGAGATGAGAATTTCCATGGGACTATACAGTGGGCTGTTGCAGCTCATCCTTACTAAGATACCCCATTGAGATGAGAATTTCTGACAATTCCCCTACTAAGATATTCCAAATCTTCACTACAATCAGCTTGAGACCTTACCAATTAGCCACCTGGCATCTTTGGTCTTGGGTTACTTAACACGGGTTAAACGGACAAGTAAAACAGTGACCCCGTATGTCTGATATAGAGTTTCTCTTCGTTTGTTCCCAGGATGCTTGCATTCATGCACCCTAGCACTCTACCGGTGGATAAGGGTTGGGTTGGATCCTGTCCCATCAAAATCAATTTCGATAGATTGGAGGATCAACAAAAATATAGAATTAGACCAATTCAGACTTAATGTTCTAAAAGTATTTATTGGATTCAGGATCCATCTCTAATAAATTTATACTGAATTGAGTTAGATTGAACCAATGTCTAGTCCATTAATGCAAAATAAGAATATAAGTGTCAATAGACCAAATTTCAGTTAAAACTAATATAAATTAAAATGAATTTAAACAAATTAGACGGTTCAAACATTGAATTGGACCGATTCAAAATGGTCCAAAATATTCATTACGTTGGATTGGATTGGATTGGACCAAATCCAGTCCAATTGACACCCCTAAGTGGTGGATATAAGTAAGTCCTCAAGTTCGGCAGAGAAAAAGTGATAGGTGAGAGAATCCATTAATAACACATTTGAAACACTAAAGCGTATTTATGATAAAAAAAAAGAGAAAAAGAAAGGGCCCCACAGAGTGTGGGAGAGAAAATGATCAAAAGTGTACCTTTCATGATCTGGGCTCCTCGGATACAAATCTCTCCAGGTTGATTTCTAGGCAAAGATTCACCGGTCTCCGGTTCAACCAGTTTCATCTCAGCGTTCCTAACCACAGTTCCACATGATCCTGATTTTATCACAAACGGCTCCTTAGCAAATGCCAAACACATCGACAACACCGGTCCCGCCTCCGTCATCCCGTATCCCTGTTTCATTCATTAGTTATTTTCCAAACTCAATACCAAAAGCTTATCAAACCGAACCAGGTCAAACAGTCCGACCGTCTGGTTTAAAATCCGGTTGAACAGTTTTGGAGTCAACCGGTCCAACCATCCGGTCCGGGCCGATTTTAAAAACCATGCCAAACACAGTATGCATTGAATAAAATTTCTTACTTGTCCAAGCTTGGCATTGGGAAGCTTGAGTCTGAGAGTGTCTTCAAGATCCTTTCCCATGGGCGCGGCACCAGACATCACCGTCCGAACGGAGGAGAGATCGTAGTCATCGACGACAGGGCACTTAGCCAAAGCCAGGACGATCGGAGGGACAAACGGCCCAATGGTCACTTTATACTTTTGTATAAGTTCCATCATTGCAACAACCTCGAATTTTTGCATAATCAGAATCGCCGAGCCAACCCGTAAACCGCAAAGCAACACCGAGTTAAGCGAGTAGATGTGGAACAGAGGCAACACGCATAACATCACATCCTCACAGTGAAGATACAAGTTCGGATTCTCTCCGTCAACCTGCTGAGCCACGCTGGTCACAAGGCCCTTGTGAGTTAACATCACACCTTTAGGCAACCCGGTCGTCCCAGACGAGTAGGGTAGTGCCACCACGTCGTCAGGGTGAATTTTTACAGTGGGCATTTCTGACTCGTCCGCCTGAGTCAACTCGGAAAAATGCAAACAGCCCTCGTGGGGCGAGTCAATAGTCATGATCATAACGTCGTTTGCCATGGCGAAGTCCCGCACTTTGTCGACATAACAAGCTTGCGTTATAATAAGTTTAGCTTTCGAGGCTTTGGCTTGCTTGGAAATCTCAGCCGGGGTATAAAAGGGATTCGCCGTAGTGCTGGTGGCGCCGCGATAAGAAGCTCCGAGGAAGGCAAAGACGAACTCAGGCGAGTTGGGTAGTAGAAGCATGATCACCTGACCTTGTTTGATGCCCAGTTTGTTAAGGCCAGATGCTACTTTCCGCGAGATGAGTTCCACGTCGGCGTAAGTGTGTATTTCGCCGGTGGCACCGTTTATCAAGCATGGCCGGGAGCTGAATTTGGATATATTCTCGAAACAGTATGTGTGTAGAGGGAGATGGTTTGGGATGTAGATATTGGGGAGTTTCGATCTGTAAATGAATTCTTGTGGCTTTGTTGCCGTTTCCACTGGAGCAGATGGAGCCATTCGGGTGGGAGAGATGGAGAGAGAGAGAGAGAGAGAGAAAGAGAGAAAGAGAGAGGGAGAGAGATTTAGGAGTTCGGGTGTGAGGTTGGTTGAGCTCCTGACGACTAACACAAGAGGAGAAGGTAATATACTGGTGGAGGAAGGTTGGAGAACTGGTGGGAGGGAGTTGATTGGAATTATGGATTTGTTAAAAGACAAAAAGTTGGCAGAGGGGTCTCGTTAGAGTAGATATGGTTGGTGTGTGAGGTTTTGGTGACGGTGAACCGGTGATGTAGGTTGCGGTTCTTACGTTGTTGACTAAGGGAACTAGATATTCCACCATGCCACTTAGGATTTCACCTACTACAAGTTTACCTGAATAGCCGGTCATGTTTGCCGCCGGTGACTTTACCTACTACCCGGCTACCGGAAATATTCTTTCTGAATTCTAACGCCTAGGGTGACGTATGAGTGGCGTAATCAGTGTTGGGTTGCTTAGTATTTGGTCTTGGCTAGGCTGCAAGCCAAAACACGGTCAAGGCAAAAAGAAATCTCGCAATGCTGACAAGGGATATATATATATATAAAGCAGAGATTTATGATTCAGTCACTTCAGAAATTTTTACTGTTTTTTTCTTTCGGAAAAGTAAACTGTGCACCAGAGTGAAGAATTCTGAATTTCAATGCAATCTTATACAATTTAAACCTACAAATATCCTCACCCTAAAACACCCTAAATATCAATACTCGTTTGTGCACCTACCCCAATTATGTGGGGCTAAGAATTCTTAAGATTTGTTCAACAGTCATTCTCCCTTGTTTTTATTTTATTTATCATCAATAACTTCATCAACGATACCCTTTCAATTTTGATTCATTCCCCCACTTGATCTCAAATTGTGCAAAGTACAATCCGTCGTTGATCGGGATGATCGGACCGTTCGGCTCAAGAATTATTTAGACAATCGATTCCTTGATTTTTGGCCAAAAATCATTAATTTGGTCAACAATTCATTGATTCGAGCAATTGAATCGTTGATCCATTCAAAGGTTTTGGCTATTTTTATTTTAATTATTATTTTTTATTTTTTTAATTTTTTTGTTAGAATGAGCCATCTATTTGAACTCGATAATTGAATTTGTCAACCCCGAAATCGGTGGCCATAATGATTCTAATTCCGGGTCATTTCTTAAAACATTAGTTCAAATCAACAAGAGTTTACGTAAAAACCCCAAAGAATATATGTTGTTAAGGGTGCAAGTCGAGCAGGTTTGACCGGGTTTATGGTCAACCCAGGCCTGAGCCAGAGGTCAACTGCGATATTCCCAACCCAAACCCAACCCGCCCTGTAATTTGATGAACTCGGGTTGGGCTCGGGCCCAGGCCGGGCTCGGGCCCAGGCTAGGCTCGAGTTGGTCAATGAACCCACTCTAAAATTATACATATATAAATGTATTTATGCAAATATATATACATATGTAAATATCTATGCAAAATATCTATACAAAAGTTATATATACAAATATGTGTGTGTGAGTGTATATATATATATATATTGTTGCCACACGGGTTGGCCGAGGGCAACAAGGTAAGTTCACTCTTCGAGTTTCGAGCGTTAGTCGAGGACCTCGGGGCCTCGAAAGAGGTTGACCGAAGCCAAGGACAACAATTCGAGGTGAAGTACTCCTTCCGAGGACTATGGTAAAAGAGGACTTCAAGTCAAGGCGAAGTCCTTGGTGATCTGAGATACTACAAGACAGGGAGTGTCAGAGACCTCGGGGTGGATACCCGAGGTAGAGGCTCTGATGCTCAAGTTAGTACGAAGTATGAAGCAGGGGAGAGTGCAAAAGTGCTCCTGGAGAGATTCCTCAGATGCACCAAATCTCCCTGAATTAATGCTAGGTAGACAATGTAGGTGTAGGAAGTAAATGAGTGAGTGATGTTGGAGTTACTCCGTTCCAACTCCTTTTAAGGGGTATTTACCTCTTTTTTATACTTGAGCATGCTCGGGGTAGTTACCTATTTTGTTATTTTGCATAGTTAAAATAACAAAATCATCTAATAAATAATTTTATTTTTTTACAAAATAAATCACGAAATTATGTACTAACAATTTAAATTATGTTTTTCTGGTACATCAATTTAAATGTTTTTCAAATATTTAATACTATGTAATATATTTAAATAAATAAAATTCAAATAAAAAAAATTTAAAAATTTTATACATGATTTAAATATTTAAATAACTAGGTATTAATCATAACTAGATTTTAAATAGTTAAAATAAAGAAATTATGTTATAAATTTAAAAAATTTCTTTAAAGCAGACAAATAATTATAACATAATATTAAAATTAATAATAATTGAATATGTTACAAAATTAATAATGAATTTATGTAATAATGATTTTAGTGATAGTTAAATTCCATAAATAACTAATATTTTAAAATTTAAATATTTTACATATTATTTAAGTATTTAAATAACTGGGTATTTTAAATAACAAAATATTTAACATAACTAGATTTTAAATAGTTAAAATAAAGAAATTATGTAATAAATTTAAAAAATTTCTGAAAAGTAGAAAAATAATTATAACATAATATTGAAATTAATAATAATTTAATATTTTTACATAATATTGCAAATAATTAATTTCACTTATATCAAGTAATAATTCGAGAAAATAAATTTCAAATAAATTAATATTTATTAATAATTTTAAACTCTTAATCTGTATTTATTATATAATTATATATACTAAAATTAATATTTATTGTATTTCAGTAATTATTTATTGTTTTCGTGATAAATGTATTTTCAATGGTTATGTATAAATTTATTTTGTTTTTTTATTTAATAGAAAACTTTCAATAATTATTGGAGATTAAACTACTATTAGTGAAAATTTTAAATTTAATTTATTGTATTTTTGTAATTATTGTATTTTTTTGTTATCAATATATTTTCAATAATTTTTTCTATAATTTTTCAATAATTATTGGAGATTAAACTATTGTTATTTATCAGAGATGAGACTATTAATTTAGCTGAAATTATGAGTGTTCATGAGTTGGTTCGTTTCGGTCATCGTAGGCTATTTGGCTAACCAAATTGACCTAGTCAGGTTGGGAAGTTGGTTAGTTGAAAGCGACAGACCTTTTGTGAAAACCAACCCACTAAAGTTGTATAAGTTTGGGTCAATTTTTTGGTTTGGTCAGTCAGTTTAAAAGATTTAAACTTAAAAATTTAATTTAATTTTAAAAATTGTAGTGCAATTGTTAAAAAATAAATTTAAAAATTAGATTTATGATATAAAACATTTTACACTAAGAAATATAGGAAATTTTCCACTTTTCCATATTAAAAATTATATTTAAAATATAAATTATTAATATATACATATATATATATATAATATAATATATATATCTATGGTTAGGTTGTTCGATTTTGGTTGGTTTTTTACAAATGGCCAAAGTGAACTTGATCCAACTTGGTCGAATTGGGAAATTTTTTAACCAAAGCCGACCTAAAATACTTGAAAACCGACCAACTCGGGTCAAGTTGATCGGGTTGATTGGTTTCATCAGTTTGATGAATAAACCTAACTGAAATTAATTGTTGTTATTTTTGTATTATAAAAAATTTATTAAAAGTAGTATATAAAATATGAATAATTATTAATTATTTAAAAAGTTGAAAATATAAAACAATTGTATGCACTTATGTGGTTCTATTAGGGTCATTTACTAGAACACATCTTATAGTTTTACATATTTACTTAAGCCTACCTTATAGTTTTCATTTTATTAAAACATCCTATATATTTTACAACTTATTTACTTAATCAACCTTTTATTAAGGAGTGTTTGTTTTGCCATTAGGCCCATGATTTTTTATTCCAAAATTACCTTTAACACTTTTTCTTTTGTATAGAAAACAAAATTAAACAAATAAAGCCAATAAAGTGGTTGCCCGTGTCTTATAAAGGGCAAAAATGATATTTTTATTTTTATTTTCTTTTGATTAAATTTATTTAAATGAACAGTAGGGTCAACTCTGTTATTTTCCATTGTCATCTAATGGAAGATTGATTAAATCCATTGCAAATTATAAGTGGTGTTTTAGTAAAATTTTAACTATAGAGTAGATTTTAGTAAATCCATGAAACTATAAGGGGTATTTTAGTAAATGACTCTTTCTATTATTTATCTTTTGCTTAATAAATCCTGTGCATCACACAGGTCCCCACTAGTAATACATGTAAAGAAATGCTATATTTGTCAAATCTAGGGGTGAAGAATTCACCAACCAGCTAATGAACCCCATCCAATAATCGCACCATGGCCTTTTTGCACTTAGGGGTATATCTCATTGGAAAAATAAACCCACCCTCTAGAGGTTAATGTTTCATTATAGTTGCCATTGATTACTTTACAAAGTGGCTTGAAGCCATCCCCTTGAAAAGAATAGTTGCCTCTAATGTCACAAACTTCCTATGGAAACAAATTATTCAAAGGTTCAGAGTACCCATGAGAATCTTGACTAATAATGGCTTGTTTATCAAAAATTAAGAAGTTAGAGACCTCTTGGAACAATAGGTACTTCAATAACATATTATCTATAGGGGAATGGGCAAGCGAAAGCCACAAACAAAATACTACTAAAAATGCTAAATAAAACAGTGACTAAACATCAAAGTTAGTGGGTAGAAAAACTCTCTAGCACATTGTGGTCCTATAGAACCTCAATTTGGTAAGGGAAAAAATCAACTCCATACTCCCTGGTATATGGACAAGAGGAAGTGCTGCATGTTGAAATACAAACAATACGCGATGGGCAAAAGTTTTAGTATAGATGATATGGATCAAATAGCTTGCAAAAGACTAAAACCCTAGATGAGATTAGAGAAAAGAGTATAACATCAAGTGAAATACAAGCAAATCATGGCTTTCAACTTCAACAAATTAAATGGTAAAAACACATGTTTCCAAAGGAGACAGTATTCAAATGGCACTATACAGGAAAGTCTACGAAGAAATTCACCCCAAATTGGGTTGGTCCTTACATAATCAAGAAAATACACCCATCTAGCTACTACAACATACTGTGGAACCGTAAAACTGATGAGGA